ACAGATCCCTCGTGCTCTCTGTAACAAAGATTTGCCCACGGTAGCTAACTGGGAAGGATGGTGGTGAGATTCACCGTTTAAATATCGGTTTGTATGGGTCTTTTTCCTATACACAGTGTGACCAATGGTGTTATTAGGATTTCGGATGACTAACACATCTAGGAAAGGTAAGGAATTATTTGCCTCTAACTCCATAGTAAATTGAATTTTAGAGTTTATGGAATTAAGATGTTCTAAAAATGCAGTTACTTTGTCTGATGGTAAAATTGTGAAAGTATCGTCTACGTACCGCTTGTAGATCCTTGGTGTAACAGGTGCAGTAAGGAGGGCTTTCTCCTCAAAGTCTTCCATGAATATATCGGCGACAATGGGAGATACAGGTGAGCCCATCGCAACACCATCTACTTGCTTGTAAAACTCTTCCTTCCACAATAGATAGCCAGATGTAAGGCAATGTCTTAGTAATACTGCATATTCTGCTGGCATGTTATTTTCCTCTAGTTTCCTAGTTATAATTGAGATGCAGTCTTCAACAGGTAGGCATGTAAATAGAGACTGAACATCAAAACTGACCATGGTTTCATTGTCAGTAAGATGTAGGTCTTTTATCTCACTGACAAAATGGTATGAATCCTTAGTGTGTGCTCTTGTGTGTCCCCTGAGTGGTGATAATATTTTAGCTAAGTATTGAGCCAATCTGTAAGTTGGCGAATCAATCTGACTCACTATTGGACGTAATGGAGCATTCGGTTTGTGTATTTTTGGTAACCCATACAACTTCGGTGGTTTGGCACATGAAGGTGTTATCGAATTAACGTCCAGATTCAATTTTTCGGAGTATTTCTTAATTAGATCGCTAGTTGTTTTAAGCGAGTTAGTTGTAGGGTCTGTTTTGACCTTTCGATAAGTAGTTTCATCCGACAAAAATTGTTGTATTTTAAAATTGTAATCTGACGTATCCATTATAACCGTAGAATATACGGTTATAATGGATACGTCAGATTACAATTTTAAGAAAACATCCAGGGGGGGCGTTCACCAATTTCAAGCTTCTCGCTTCTATTTTCACTATGTTAATTTATCAACTTTATTGTACATTTAATTAACTTCAAATTCAACCAAATCAACGTTAATCGACATTAAAACAAGTGACACGCTGCAAAACTTAAGGAGGGTTGGTCAAAATTCAAAGTCCCAGGTTCACTTAGCACAAAACTATAACTACGAGAAGAACGCGGTCTCTTCTCGACGCCCAACGTTAAGCGTTCTCTCGACAAAGTAAAAGTCTTATCACGCTATCAAACGACACGACGCACTAATAACTCGTCGATGCAATTAACGGCATAAAGGTTCCTTTAATCACTCCAAACTACAAGTGGGTATCTTGTCACGTAACACGTTCTAAACAGACAACTAAACATGATTAAAACTACTTTTACGGATTTTATCGCGTTTATTTTTGCTTTTAATTACTTTTATTTTTAATTCCCGACGTTTCGGGCGCTTTCCAGCACCCATGGTCACGGGGGACTGAGATGACTGACGTCCCGATGTCATTGTTAAACCCGGAGTACCTTCAGCTTTTTTAATTATTGTTTATGGTCCGATCTGTGCAAAATGAACTGACTATGTCTTGAGGTCTTGCAGTGGTATGCTTGGGTTTAGTTTTAATTTTATTGATTATAGGATCCCAAGCAGGTGGTAGTACCCAGCCTCCTTCTCTATTGAAATTAGGATGTTTTTTAATTTCAATAGCCTCACGTATCATCCTTGGTAGGAATCGGTGTTCTTTCGCGAGGATTTGTGGTCTATCAAATCTGATGTAATGGTTGGGGCCGTCCAGGATATGATCACAAACTGCAGACTTCCCGGAACGTTGATGCTTCACATCAGCTATATGTTCTTTTACGCGGGTTCTAATTGATCTTTTTGTTTGTCCTATATAAGAGAGACCACATTCACAATCAAGCTTGTACACTCCTGCATCTTGTAGAGGAATATGACACTTGACGGATGGTAGGAACTGACTAATCTTCTTCGGCGGCTTGTAGAATGTTCTAATAGAAGCTCGCTTCAAGATATAGCCAATCTTGTCTGTGACACCTCTGACATATGGTAGTACAGCAGGCACACGCTCGACTGTGGCCGGCTTCACTCGGTCACTGTGACGTAGGCGCGGGACCCGAAGCTTGTTGTCGTGCAGAACTTGCTTGACGTGCTGAAGCTCGGCGGCCAGGTGTTTGCTATCACAGATCCCTCGTGCTCTCTGTAACAAAGATTTGCCCACGGTAGCTAACTGGGAAGGATGGTGGTGAGATTCACCGTTTAAATATCGGTTTGTATGGGTCTTTTTCCTATACACAGTGTGACCAATGGTGTTATTAGGATTTCGGATGACTAACACATCTAGGAAAGGTAAGGAATTATTTGCCTCTAACTCCATAGTAAATTGAATTTTGGAGTTTATGGAATTAAGATGTTCTAAAAATGCAGTTACTTTGTCTGATGGTAAAATTGTGAAAGTATCGTCTACGTACCGCTTGTAGATCCTTGGTGTAACAGGTGCAGTAAGGAGGGCTTTCTCCTCAAAGTCTTCCATGAATATATCGGCGACAATGGGAGATACAGGTGAGCCCATCGCAACACCATCTACTTGCTTGTAAAACTCTTCCTTCCACAATAGATAGCCAGATGTAAGGCAATGTCTTAGTAATACTGCATATTCTGCTGGCATGTTATTTTCCTCTAGTTTCCTAGTTATAATTGAGATGCAGTCTTCAACAGGTAGGCATGTAAATAGAGACTGAACATCAAAACTGACCATGGTTTCATTGTCAGTAAGATGTAGGTCTTTTATCTCACTGACAAAATGGTATGAATCCTTAGTGTGTGCTCTTGTGTGTCCCCTGAGTGGTGATAATATTTTAGCTAAGTATTGAGCCAATCTGTAAGTTGGCGAATCAATCTGACTCACTATTGGACGTAATGGAGCATTCGGTTTGTGTATTTTTGGTAACCCATACAACTTCGGTGGTTTGGCACATGAAGGTGTTATCGAATTAACGTCCAGATTCAATTTTTCGGAGTATTTCTTAATTAGATCGCTAGTTGTTTTAAGCGAGTTAGTTGTAGGGTCTGTTTTGACCTTTCGATAAGTAGTTTCATCCGACAAAAATTGTTGTATTTTAAAATTGTAATCTGACGTATCCATTATGTCTCTCTTATATAAGACAAACAAAAAGATCAATTAGAACCCGCGTAAAAGAACATATAGCTGATGTGTAGCATCAACGTTCCGGGAAGTCTGCAGTTTGTGATCATATCCTGGACGGCCCCAACCATTACATCAGATTTGATAGACCACAAATCCTCGCGAAAGAACACCGATTCCTACCAAGGATGATACGTGAGGCTATTGAAATTAAAAAACATCCTAATTTCAATAGAGAAGGAGGCTGGGTACTACCACCTGCTTGGGATCCTATAATCAATAAAATTAAAACTAAACCCAAGCATACCACTGCAAGACCTCAAGACATAGTGAGTTCATTTTGCATAGATCGGACCATAAACAATAATTAAAAAAGCTGAAGGTACTCCGGGTTTAACAATGACATCGGGACGTCAGTCATCTCAGTCCCCCCGTGACCATGGGTGCTGGAAAGCGCCCGAAACGTCGGGAATTAAAAATAAAAGTAATTAAAAGCAAAAATATACGCGATAAAATCCGTAAAAGTAGTTTTAATCATGTGTAGTGTTCGCGTAAATATAAGAAATCATTATGCAGACAACTAAATTCGAGGCGGTCTAATTAGACCCAAATGTTCAATAGTAATTCAAAATGGCGCGCGCAACCGTATACCAGTCACAAACAATACTTAAAACGTTTACAACAACAATTATATGATTCCGGCCTCGTTATCACGAAAACAAATTAAGATAACACTGTAAGAGGCTCGCGACGTATAATCGACCCGGGTGTCGCGCATATAAACTCAAGAATAAGCCTCGTTGTCACGTATATTAACGACAAATACAACATAATAGAGGCCGTCGTTATGCGACGCCGTAATTATTATCAAACTCGCGACCTCTAAATCGACCCGGGCGTTGCGCAAATAAACTCAAGAATAAGCCTCGTTGTCACGTATATCAACGACAAAATACAACTCCATAAAGGCCGTCTTTTCGACGCAAACTATTATGAAACTCGCGACCTCTAAATCGACCCGGGCTTCATCAACTATTATGTAACGCCCGACGTCTAACCGGCGCGGTCTCACCGCTCAAGGATTCCGGCCGACTAGAGCGCTTGCTGTGCGCGTACGGCACAGCAAGCCCCCGCTTCCCGCGCAACGCTAATCGTTTCCTCACCCCGCTCGAGATGCGCGTCCCGCAGGCTGCGATTTTAAATGACACAACTTGGCGTAAACAGTACATATGTTTTGATTTCCCTATTGACAGTTGCGTTTTTTAAATCTAACTGTGCCGGGTTTGGATGGTTAAATTTGTGAAATTTATATATGTCGCAGCACCTCTGATGGTAGTCGGAATTATTGTAAACAACACGTGCACCGCACACCTGCGCATTGCACCTGCACTGGCGCTCGTGTAGCTACTTGTCTCGATTATATAAAACGGACGAAGCGGCCGCCGTTAAGGGAGTCATGGCTCTGGCGTGGCACGATGCACTTGTTGTATCTCGCTACTAGCTCATCCTAGACTATTCGGATAATTAATTTGTGGAAACGAATTTATTATTATTATCAGCTATTAAATTAGTCTCAGTACAGTTTATAATTGATTACCTGTGATCCGTGTATTTTGTGATTGTAAATTAATTCTATTTAACTATCTTCCTACATATATGTAAACTGCCCACACGATACAGGAAAAATCCTAATGTGAGGGTAATGTTTTTTTTAAATAAAAAAGGAAAAGAAAAGATATGTATAACAATGATCATCACCAGTCTCTATGTAGAGTGATAATGATCTACAATGTGCGGTACATGGGTGCGTGTCGCGCAGGAGGTGCGTGCGGCGGCGCTGCGCGAGTACGTGTCGCGCGTGTGCGGCGCCGTGCTGGCCAGCGAGCCGCTGCGCGCGCTCGGTGCCGCCGTGCCCGACCTGCTGGCCGCGCAGCTGCGTGCCGCAGTGCTGCTCGACAGGCAAGCCACTCTATACCTTATGTCTCTTTGCTTTAACGTTACAATTTCATTGAATGCATTTCTGTTTCTATTTCACTATTCATCTATTACATGATACATTCATTAGCTAGTAGGAACGTTTTATAACTCTTCTTTTTTATATAACTATAGTGACAAATGAACTTTCAGTCCATCTGATGGTAAATGGCTACTGCAATCTATGGACACCTATAGTCAACTTCAAACAAAGAAGGCTATAGATGCGTTATGACCTCTCAGTCTCAGGACTAAAAGGTAATGTCTCACAGCCTGTAATTATACTTTCTCTTTATGCCCTTCAGACCACGGCGGCCAGTCTCAACGCAGACTACAAAATTACTAAATACTAAACAATATTTTGTATACAGATTTATAACCTTTTGGACAGCTCCGTGGCGCAGTGACTCTTAGCATTGAATTGAAGCGCTGATGGCCGTGAGGTTCGAATTATTGATTAAATTAAATTATTGTTTCGAGACTAAATGTTTGTCCTCGTTCAATTTATGTATGTTAACTAATGTATGTAGAAGTATCCACGAGATAATAGAGAATCATATTGTGGTGTTAATTTTCACCAGACTCGAAAACTGGCAGTAATAGGATTCGAGAAGAAGACTCGCCTAGTGAATTAAGTTCTCATGACTCTAGACAACAATTTAACCTTTAAGTTATATAGATATTGTCATCGTCTTTATTTCTCGCTGTTTTAGAGCGAAAGAAGGCGTCCAACGCAAACTGGAAGCGGGGCTAGCTACGGCCGAGGCGCGGATTTTTGCGTCACATCCGATCTTGTCCCGCGCAGACGCGTGGCGGAAGGAGAAGTTGGCGGCGACCGCACAGCGGCTGAGGAGCGAGCTGAGCTGGGCGCCGTACGAGGACGCGGCGGCCGCCATGCAGGCGCAGAAGTTGCACCAGCACCGGTACTTCCTACTTCGAGATCTCGCTTTTCTACGGGACCGGGAACCTCTATTGCTCAAGGTATGTGTTTTGTTAGCGCACGAGTGTGATGCTCATGCATCCGAAGTTACACGCATTTTGTACACGTGTGCATGTAACATGTGCATCAAATCTGTAATAACTTCGTAGTCAAATTTCATCCACAACGTCCACCACTACAGTCTACAAAAATCCACTGCAGAACATTATTCTGCCGCCCCACTGACCTCTATATATACAAGTACGCTGGACTGGCTATACCATACAAAATGACTGTGCCAATTTGAAGCGCCGCTAAAGGATGTCTTGAAAGATAAAATTGACATAATATGCCAGTCTGTTGTCTTATTTATATTGTCTTATTTCATAAGTCTGTATTTTGAACTTTTAAACTAAAAAACGAAAGTATTTTGTTGTTTGATTGTGTATAATATTAGTTACATAATAAGAATTATTCTTATTAATAATGAGAGTGTGCATAATGATTTCTTATATTTACGCGAACACTACACATTGAAATAATACTAATTTTTACGGAATTTATCGCGTATATTTAACTTTTTTACCCGACGTTTCGAGAGCTTTACAGCACCCATGGTCACGGGAAGGACTGAGATGTTCAACGTCCAGCTGTCATAGTTAACCGCGGTTACCATAGATTAAAATTTAACTTTTGTTCCGATCTACACAGTATGAACTTATGGTATCATGGAGTCTTGCAGTTGTATGCTTGGGTTGGGATTTAATTTTATTTATTATAGGATCCCAAGCAGATGGTAGCACCCAGCCATCTTCTCTATTGAAATTAGGATGTTTTTTGATTTCAATAGCCTCGCGAATCATCCTTGGAAGGAATCGGTGTTCTTTAGCGAGGATTTGTGGTCTATCAAATCTGATGTAGTGACGGGGGCGATCCTGTACATGTTCACAGACTGCAGACTTCCCGGAGCGTCGATTCTTCACATCAGCTATATGTTCTTTGACGCGGGTTTTAATTGATCTTTTAGTTTGTCCTATGTAGGAGAGACCACATTCACAATCAAGCTTGTACACTCCTGCATCTTGCAGAGGGACGTTACACTTGACTGATGGTAAAAACTGACCAATCTTCTTCGGCGGCTTGAAGTATGTTTTGATGGAAGCGCGCTTCAAGATGTAGCCAATCTTGTCAGTGACTCCTCTAACATATGGCAGTACAGCAGGTACACGCTCGACTGTGGCCGGCTTCACTCGTTCTCTGTGACGTAGGCGCGGGACCCGAAGCTTGTTGTCATGCAAAACTTGCTTGACATGTTGGAGCTCGGCAGCCAGGTGTTTACTGTCACAGATCCCTCGTGCTCTCTGAAACAAAGATTTACCCACGGTAGCTAACTGTGAAGGATGGTGGTGAGAATCACCGTTTAAATATCTATCTGTATGGGTCTTTTTTCTATACACAGTATGGCTCAAGGTGTTATCAGGATTCCGAATTACTAACACATCTAGAAAAGCTAAGGAATTGTTTGCCTCTAACTCCATTGTGAACTGAATTTTAGTATTTATAGAGTTAAGATGGTCTAAAAATGCAGTTACTTTATCTAAAGGTAGAATTGTGAAAGTGTCGTCTACGTACCGCTTGTAGAATCTTGGATTTATGGGAGAAGTAAGCAGGGCTTTCTCCTCAAAGTCTTCCATGAATATGTCGGCGACAATGGCAGATACAGGTGAGCCCATCGCCACACCATCTACTTGCTTGTAGAACTCCTCCTTCCACAATAGGTAGCCAGATGTAAGGCAGTGTCTGAGTAATACTGCATATTCTACGGGCATGTTGTTTTCTTCCAGCCTTCTAGTTACAATTGAGATGCAGTCTTCAACAGGTAAGCATGTAAACAATGACTGCACATCAAAACTGACCATAGTTTCATTGTCTGCCAGACGTAGGTCTTTAATCTCGCTGACAAAATGGTAGGAATCCTTTATGTGTGCTCTTGTATGTCCCCTGAGCGGTGAGAGTATTTTCGCTAAGTGTTGAGCCAATCTGTAAGTTGGTGAATCGATTTGGCTCACTATGGGGCGTAATGGAGCATTGGGCTTGTGTATTTTTGGTAACCCATACAACTTTGGTGATTTGGCGCACGTAGGTATTATCCATTTTACGTCCAGATTTAATTTTTCGGAGTGTTTCTTTATGAGGTCACTAGTTGTTTTTAGTGTGCTGTTTGTTGGGTCGTTTTTAACCTTTTTATAAGTACTTACATCCGACAAAAGTTCTTGTATTTTAGAATTATAATCTGACGTATCCATGACCACCGTGGCGTTTCCCTTATCTGCGCGGAGAATCGTAAGTTCTGGTTTATTGCGTAGGTTCTTTAACGCTATAAATTCGTCTCTGGGAAGATTCGGTTTAGGCACTGAACATCGACGTAACATAGACGAAATGTCTTGACGTATCGCCTCCAAATCTTCTTTCCGCATATTGTTTTTAAATAAACAGTCCTCGACACTACAGATAATTTCTTCGTACGGTAATCTGCTTGGAGTTATAGCGTAATTTAGTCCTTTGGATAACACCTTTATTGCTGCATCATCCAGTGTTTGTTTTGACAGATTATAGAACGCGATTAATCTATGATCTGTGTTTGTCAATGGTTGCTTTTGGTTCTGGCATTGATTCGGATGTTTGACATTTGATTTGGCCGTTAATTTTTGATATTTTTCTATATGTTTGTTTTTGCATTCGTTATATTTACTAATTTCGCGTTTATTTAATGTTTCCATGCAAAAGTTATAATCAAACGTCGTTAAAACTTTCTTTAATTCACTGGATGATATGTCTATGGATTTATTTATGTCATATAGATCGGAGCGTTTTTGTTGGATTACCGCCCGTAACAACTTTTTACTTGCCTGATTTAAGATCTTAGCGCTTCCTCGAATGTCCTTTTTGGTGGATATTTTGACACACGTAGGAATGAGATTATGGTCTCGGCATCTCTTCAAGAAATTTAAGGCTGTTAGATATCTTGCGCGCTTAGTCTTTAGATCTTCTAATCGGCGTATTTTATTTGCAATTACCAGTCCGTACTGGTTTACATAATGATTTCTTATATTTACGCGAACACTACACATTGAAATAATACTAATTTTTACGGAATTTATCGCGTATATTTAACTTTTTTACCCGACGTTTCGAGAGCTTTACAGCACCCATGGTCACGGGAAGGACTGAGATGTTCAACGTCCAGCTGTCATAGTTAACCGCGGTTACCATAGATTAAAATTTAACTTTTGTTCCGATCTACACAGTATGAACTTATGGTATCATGGAGTCTTGCAGTTGTATGCTTGGGTTGGGATTTAATTTTATTTATTATAGGATCCCAAGCAGATGGTAGCACCCAGCCATCTTCTCTATTGAAATTAGGATGTTTTTTGATTTCAATAGCCTCGCGAATCATCCTTGGAAGGAATCGGTGTTCTTTAGCGAGGATTTGTGGTCTATCAAATCTGATGTAGTGACGGGGGCGATCCTGTACATGTTCACAGACTGCAGACTTCCCGGAGCGTCGATTCTTCACATCAGCTATATGTTCTTTGACGCGGGTTTTAATTGATCTTTTAGTTTGTCCTATGTAGGAGAGACCACATTCACAATCAAGCTTGTACACTCCTGCATCTTGCAGAGGGACGTTACACTTGACTGATGGTAAAAACTGACCAATCTTCTTCGGCGGCTTGAAGTATGTTTTGATGGAAGCGCGCTTCAAGATGTAGCCAATCTTGTCAGTGACTCCTCTAACATATGGCAGTACAGCAGGTACACGCTCGACTGTGGCCGGCTTCACTCGTTCTCTGTGACGTAGGCGCGGGACCCGAAGCTTGTTGTCATGCAAAACTTGCTTGACATGTTGGAGCTCGGCAGCCAGGTGTTTACTGTCACAGATCCCTCGTGCTCTCTGAAACAAAGATTTACCCACGGTAGCTAACTGTGAAGGATGGTGGTGAGAATCACCGTTTAAATATCTATCTGTATGGGTCTTTTTTCTATACACAGTATGGCTCAAGGTGTTATCAGGATTCCGAATTACTAACACATCTAGAAAAGCTAAGGAATTGTTTGCCTCTAACTCCATTGTGAACTGATGATGTGATTGATTCTCACCACCATCCTTCACAGTTAGCTACCGTGGGTAAATCTTTGTTTCAGAGAGCACGAGGGATATGTGACAGTAAACACCTGGCTGCCGAGCTCCAACATGTCAAGCAAGTTTTGCATGACAACAAGCTTCGGGTCCCGCGCCTACGTCACAGAGAACGAGTGAAGCCGGCCACAGTCGAGCGTGTACCTGCTGTACTGCCATATGTTAGAGGAGTCACTGACAAGATTGGCTACATCTTGAAGCGCGCTTCCATCAAAACATATTTCAAGCCGCCGAAGAAGATTGGTCAGTTTTTACCATCAGTCAAGTGTAACGTCCCTCTGCAAGATGCAGGAGTGTACAAGCTTGATTGTGAATGTGGTCTCTCCTACATAGGACAAACTAAAAGATCAATTAAAACCCGCGTCAAAGAACATATAGCTGATGTGAAGAATCGACGCTCCGGGAAGTCTGCAGTCTGTGAACATGTACAGGATCGCCCCCCGTCACTACATCAGATTTGATAGACCACAAATCCTCGCTAAAGAACACTGATTCCTTCCAAGGATGATTCGCGAGGCTATTGAAATCAAAAGACATCCTAATTTCAATAGAGAAGATGGCTGGGTGCTACCATCTGCTTGGGATTCTATAATAAATAAAATTAAATCCCAACCCAAGCATACAACTGCAAGACTCCATGATACCATAAGTTCATACTGTGTAGATCGGAACAAAAGTTAAATTTTAATCTATGGTAACCGCGGTTAACTATGACAGCTGGACGTTGAACATCTCGGTCCTTCCCGTGACCATGGGTGCTGTAAAGCTCTCGAAACGTCGGGTAAAAAAGTTAAATATACGCGATAAATTCCGTAAAAATTAGTATTATTTCAATGAGAGTGTGCATAATCTGTAAAA